ACTTTTTTCTCAGTTCTAACATAGGCACACACACACAATCACTGCTTTAAGCATGTTAGCAGCTGAAAGCTCAGAGGTGCCCAAACATGAGTTTTGGAATGTACAGAAATCAGAAAATTTTAACAAAATGGAACAGAGGGTTGTTTTTATTCTCTACTCAGCCAAGGTCAAACACCTCTTTCATAGCCGCTATGCTCATGTGTACTTGGTTAAAACCCTGCAGCACAAATTTAAAGCATGTTCTGTTTCAATTTAGCCCTAATACAATTTCTATTCCATTTTTGAAAGGCAAAATTGATAGGACAAGCCTTCACACAAATGACACTTACTCAGTGGTATGTAGGTAGAGTCAAAGTGGTGAAAGAAGGCCAAACATGCTGTAATATACAATCCAAGGCTAAGTGCCCCTAAAATATGACAACATTGACAAATAGATTTGCTCCAGTTTTGCACCAAAGAAGGGTTATAAAAAAAAGAAGAAAACACCAGTTAAATTCTTGGTTTCTTACTACTTTTTATTCTATGTACTTAAAGGAATAGTACACCCAAAACATGATTAGCCTTCATTTTCTACTCACCCCCATGCTGAACAACACTCTGGAGTACTTTTTTGATATCTCAAATGCATATGGAGATCTGGGAGGCTTCTTGCTGTCTGCTGACATTCAAATAATGGAGGTCTATGGTGACCGAGACAGAAAGGTCCATAAAAGTCCACAAAAAACGTGTCAATATTCCTCCATACTGCTCGTCCAATGTATTCCAAGTGTCCTGAGTGGGTAGCATCCAGAATTTACTCGAAACAAAGTCATTTAGAATGTTTTTAGAGCATAAACAGTAGTGTATAGGATTTCCTGAAAGCGCGCACATGCGCGCTCCCGACGCTACGGAAGCCGGCAGACCGAACCAGCGCATTCAGCTCGGCAAAGAACTCATGCTCTTCCTCAACACTGAAGTCCTCAGACATTTTTCTTTCGTTGTTTCTTTCTTTGCACAGGTAAACATCACATTCCTATTTCTACGCTTGCATTATTGGCAGAGCAGACGCTGAATGCGCACTTTCATCTGGTTTGGTCTGCCGGCTTCCGTAGCGTCGTGAACGCGCATGTGCGAAATCCTATACACTACTGTTTATGCTCTAAAAACATTCTAAATGACTTCGTTTCGAGTAAATTCTGGATGCTACCCACTCAGGACACTTGGAATACATTGGACGAGCAGTATGGAGGAATATTGACACGTTTTTTGTGGACTTTTATGGACCTTTCTGTCTCGGTCACCATAGACCTCCATTATTTGAATGTCAGCAGACAGAAAGAAGCCTCCCAGATCTCCAGATGCATTTGAGATATCAAAAAAGTACTCCAGAGTGTTGTTCAGCATGGGGGTGAGTAGAAAATGAAGGCTAATCATGTTTTGGGTGTACTATTCCTTTAAGCTTGTGTACCTTATCTAACACAAGACACATTAAAATGTTTACAAGAGAAATATATATCAAGCCTTTAAAAATCTACTGAGATAACCATAACAAAAATGAGCATTTTAACTTTTTTCTGCTTGGACTCGACCAGGAAAACCTCAAAGGATGAATATTTATAAAAGCATCTCATGCTGTTTGGTATGGGGCCACTACTCTGACACTGTGGCCTGGTTACCCTTCCAGCTGCTTTTAGGATCATATTATGTTTATGAACCTTTGGAAAAATTAGAAGATTTAAGTAAAATCTATTCAGAAACTGAATATGGGTTGTCAATGAGCATTTCACCTAGTAATTATCTGATAACTTTATTCTCATAAACAGAGAAACGGTTTGCCAGATACAAAATCTATTTTCTTCCAATAAATGTGTCAGGTATTGTTCTTGCAAAAACCCAGCATTTCACACTTTGCTCTTTTGGACCATGCAGGGGGAACTACATGGCAGAAAGATGTAAACTGACACGCACTGTAGGAGACCAAGATGTCCTGCAGTTTTATACAAGCATGCACACGGAGACTAACACTAACATTTTGACATCAGAAGTGCAGAAGGTCATTATTTTTATCCAGTGCTGAAATTTGACTTACGAGACAAAATATTTCTTATCAAGCAAAAAACAAAACAAAAAACATTTTAATGCATGTTTCTCATGTGAACAGTATTTTCATTATCCTATCTTCTGGTAACTTGCCCTGACAAATACTTAATTGAACTGATTGTGACTGAACTAAATTCCACAAAGAGAGGCTGAATTAAAGGGTGTCGCTGGGAGGAATGTTATCCAGTGTCCCTTTGGGGCTGTGAGTCACAGCCAGCTATGCAGCTGAAGACACTCGCTTAGTTTGATGTTAACTTGTTTCTCCTCTGGCGGCGCCTGTCACCTCTTGCTAAGCTTCTGTAGCAAGAGCTCGGATCAGCAGGGTATCTGAGGGGCTGTCGTTCTGCTCTCCGTCACAACCGCCACTGTTTGCTTTAGGACACAGGTAGTGAAGCTATAACCTAAAAAGGAATACCAGTAAGTGTATGTTGCTGGTATGCTGGTTGCTGATGATGCTGGAATGTGACCCCCTCCGATTAACCAATGCCTTCAGTGTTTTTTTTGTCACTTTTATTAAAACAAATTGTATTTCAATGTTTCGTTCTTTTTTCTCCTTCATACCTTTTAAACTTAAAAAAGAGGAAAAAATGTGTGTTTTGAGATTATCACCTCTGATGCCGGCCTCAAAGATTGAATAGAAAGTATTTAAAAACTTGGTAAAGCACCAAAAAGCCAAATATTTAACAAAATAACTTTTTTCTATCTGCCTTAAAATTCTGACATTGGAGTGCTCTGTCGTGTCAACTGAAAGAAAGTCCCTGACTTGCACTCTGGGGCATGCGAACTGCCTGGTTTTTTATTGAATTCATTCATAATGTCCTCTGGAGGCACAAAATACACCAAAAGAGAACGTTTCTGGGGATCTTACATGAACTTTGGGTTTAATTTCATGTTTGGCTGCGTTTCATTTTAATGTAAGAAATGGAATTGTAGAAACTTTACCTTTCACAGTTGTATTGCAGATTTCCGATTCTCAAATTTGTAAAGGTCAGCAGCAGTTTTAATCACTTATGTTTGCATACTGATTCACAAAACACATTTATTTATTGACTTCTTGTCTCAGTTATTTTAGTAATCTGTACAAGAAATATGGGCAAAGTCAGCCTGCTGATAGAAGAAAGTAGTTAGTTTAAAACAGTTTTCATTCCTTACAACAAAGATCAATCCCTTTTTCTATCATAAGTGGAGACCATTACTTTAACTTTGCTTTAATACACCTAACCTACCAAGAAAATACCAGGTTTATTCACGTCTTCATTTTGACCACATGTCTCCATGTAAGGTACAAACTTATGTTCAGTGGCAGACAGTCTGAGTCTGTTACTAAAAAAGTTGGACTCAAAAAAAAAACAACTGTAAAAGAACAAAAAGACCATGACCTAGCTCTCTGTTGTAGCAACAAAATGCCCAACATGCCTAAATAGAAAATACATCTGTTCTCTTTTTCTTTCTTTGACCTTGTAAAAACATTATCGATACTGAAAATGGTTAACTTTTACTCTTCTCCTGTAATGGATTCAGCAGCTTCCCTGCAGAAAGGCTTAGGGTTTGGCTTAGGGTTAGGGTTGTCATATTGAACTGGAGTTTTGTATGTTTGATCTGTTTTACTGCTTTGGAGAAAAAAATATATCTGAGAACATAAACTGTCCAATAATAGCATCAAATGAAAAAAAAAAAATATATCCCAGTTACCAGAGAATTTGTGATTTCCACAACAGACCTATTACGAAAAGTAAAGCAGTACAATATTTAAAACATTTACACAATTTTCATACTATGTGAGAAAAGTGTGCTTAAGCACTGATGTTGCCTCCATCTTCATCATGTTAATTAGATCAGCCCTTTTGAAATTCAGCAACAACAATAGCTACCTTTACATGGACATATGTAATCAGAATAAATGGCTCATTAGAAGAAAAATGTGTCAGTGAGAATGATCTGATGGGGCAGGATCGGAACAAAGTTGTAATCCGAATGAGAGGGTTGTCTTTTGCTGATGGACAATCCAATCACGTTATTCTGAATAAGGTAAGCTGACCTGTGTGCGCATTTAGCTGATCACTCAGGCTAGCTGTTATCAGAATATTCCAATCAGCATGTTTAATACTCATTTTTAGTCTGATTTACTGTTTTATACATGATAATTATTTCAGTAAAGGTGGTACAGTCTGATTATTTCTTGTTTTTAATTTCAATACATTTCAATTCAGTCATGAAATTTTGTGCATGTAAACATAGTTGCTGCTTTAAATGAAGATACCATTCACTTAAAATCAAGTAATCTTTAGATTATTGCAAAAATGTGTATGTGTATATATGTTTAATAACACACATAAAGGACACCAAAGGACACCTCTTTCACTAACTGGCACAGACTTGAATCAGATGGTATTGTGTCTTTTCTTATCCATGTGTCTTCCAGGCATTTTATTAACACAAGCTGTGCATCACTGCTAGGTCAATGAATCAGAGAGCTAGTAGTGACCAGCATGCTGTTCCTATCAGCGATATTTCTAGTATGAGGCACAGATCACTGCAGGTCGATCGGTTAGGCTGGCTGTTAGGGACAAGTGACGTCTCATTGTGTTAGAGCCAACTTCCTGTTAAGGCGGAGCCGGAGGCAGCCAGCTCACACATGGTTCCCCCAAGGCTGAGGTGATGGGCTCAGATGATCAGCTGAAGGCTCTGATGTTTGAGTCAGAGGTGGTCCTCACTGGCCTCGAGTGATGACTGATGGAGCTCGGACTCCTGGTGCTTTAGAAATGAACTCAGGCAACAACTCAGTGGCAGAAAAAAAAGAAAATGGGAAAGTATTAAAGGGGGAGAACATAAATATTGTTTCAAAGTAAACTTTAGTCATGTCTGCAGGCTATAATACTGTCATAGTAAATCAACTTTATAATGTGTCTTTTTGTCTGCAGGAAGCTGTACATTTGATGAAGGCTTCTCTCAGTGCGATTACCAACAAGACCCTTATGACGACTTTGACTGGGCGCACATCAACACGCAAGAAGTGCCATACGTCTCACCAGATCTGCCACAAGGTAACGTCCATCTTTGAATACCTTCCTATTTTTAGCACCAACAGTTCATTGAATGATCAAAAATCTGGACGATTTTTAAATCCTTTAAAAAAGTTGTCATCCTTCTATTTTTCAATTATATTTATCATTATATTGGAATTTGATGTGATCCCAGAACATTAGCTATGGCGCTCTAAAGATCCCTCAGAGTGTCCTATTTTTGTCGTACTGCAAGTAGTTTAGCTAATGGTTAGTAAGTTCTTTTAAGTTGAATTGAAATGTAATTAAAAATGTACCCGTCAGAAATTCCTATTTCATATAGCAAGTATATATAAAAAAACATTTAAGTTTTACAAAAACTGAAGTAGAGGACATCAGCAATTACATTGTTAATAGGATTTATTAATATCCATTTTTAATTAGTAAGAAATAACTAAGAATTTCCAATAACCCCAATCTATCAATTGAAGAACTATTTTAACTTGGTTGATATCACATTGGAAGAATGCCATTTTAAATAGCTGAACCATACTGAAGTTTATTTGAAAAAAAAAATTAAGAAGTATACCTGTATCCTGAAATAAAACCAGTAGTGATCTTTAGGGGCAAACACAAGTTTGTTAACTGTAATGATTGACGGATGAAAGAACTCTAAAACTTTGACTATTGCCCCAAAATCCATGTTCTAATTATAATTTTATAGGCTTTCATATTTCCTTAATGAAGGATGAATGCTCACAGTACCGACTGTAAAGAAGAAATACATGGCAGTGCAAGTTTTTAGGGCAACATAATATGCTTTCAGTTTTCTCTTCTTTCATCAATCATTTTACAAACCCCACAGCTGTGTTTTTTGTATGACACCTCTGAAAGCATCTTGTTGGGACTTGCTGTTGCAGCAACAAGCTTAACTACTTCAGCCTCCCCAACAAAAAGCTTCCTGTGTTAGTGTTTGATACTAATAATCAGTTTTTGTTGTTGTTGTTTTTTTTTTGTAAAGCTTGGGGCAAATTCTGCTGGTAGTTATGGATGCGTCAGAGAAAAGAGAAGATAAATAGATTTTTTACTTTAAAAGGTTTTGGGTTTGTTTTCAATCAAATCCTAGTGTTGCTTCCCAGACTCCCCCTCTTTAACCTCCCCTTTCTTGTCCTTTCCTTTCCTCTCCTCCTTCCTTCTCTCCTCTGCCCCTCTTCAATCAGCAGGTCTTTTTTTTTTCCTCAGCAATGATGATGAAGGGGAAATTAAATCGTTCTGCCTCAGGGCCGAGTGTCTAATTAACAGAATATGAGGTCATTAATCAACAGCGGCCAATGGGCAAGGTTGCCTACTTTAGTGTTAAACGAAAAATGTTGTAGCGTTAACTAGCTGTGCAATGTTCAAATAATAACTTGCTTCACCAAATTAAAATCTTAGCGCAAGATGTTGAGATGTGTGAGTAATGATTTTAAGTTGGGATTGCAAATATGTTTTCTGTAAGGTTTGTCTCTTTTGCTGTTGTTTTTTTCTCTTCCTTCACTGTTTGTCTCCTCTTATCTTAATTTTCCCTTTGTGCCCTCTTTTCGTCAGGAAGCATTATAACATTGTTACCATGACAATATAATGATGTTTATCTCTGATGCTTCTTATTATGGCAACTCACCTTTGGTGACATTCAAAGAAAAGTTAATATCAACCTTTTTTTCCTTCAGCTTTCACATTAACTTACATCTAAAACTGTTGGTTGTTGTTTTGTACATTTGGCAAAGCACAGGTGTCCAGTGGTGGACAACCTTGGATTATATATCATAAATACCAAGTGGTGTCACTCTTCAGTGTGGGCAGAGTTGCCACTTCGATGAGGTTAAACACCTTTCCCGAGGGGAACTGATCCGTAATGCCTAGAATTAACATAGCATTAACTTCTCCAGAACCTTGTGGGATGAGCAGGGCAGAGGGATTGCAGAGCAGGTTAATGGTTCCGAGATGTTGGTTGCTGGAAGGAGGAGTTCAGTGCCAAGCCTAAAGGTACAGGAGCATGAACTGACATTTGATGTGCTAATAATGCCAGCAGGGTGCGGAGCGGTGATGCAGTGAATAGGAAACAAGGCTTCAGGAGGGGATTAGAGAGGTAGCATTTAAGTAGGATTTTTCAGAGAGGATTGTCTTCAGTTGTAAGTGTAAATGCCTTGCCTATGGGCTTAGACGATATGTTTTGATTGGAACCCTAAGAGGCATGGCTAAATAAAAAAAAAAAAAGCAGAATATTCAGTTAAACAACAGGATGGCAAATTTAATTATCTTTAGTGTATTATTTAAATTTTTTGGCATCTCCAAGATGGTAGGTGACATGAGAAAGAAGCAATACAAAAGGTAATTTCTTTCAATTGTTCTTGCCAAAAGTAAAACATAGCTGCCTTATTCTAGATTTATTTGTCCTGTTTACTAATCACTCCATGAACCAAAAGTGTTAAGTGTCTATGGATGGTTTGTCATTTTTTAAAAGCTAAAATTCATCTATGTGTCTCACTGGGGGTTGATGTTGGCAGTTCACCATGACTAGCGCTGGGAAGCTATGTTGGCAAAGAACGCTGCGCCAGTTGAACATTCACAGGCTGGAGCTCTGAGGCTCAGCAGACTAAAGCAGATACTCTCGACTCATAATGTTGTCAGCCAGTAACACTCCAAACCTATTTGGCATGCCTTTCTCTTCATGTCTCCTCTTTTCCCTCCAGCTTTCAATAGCAATTTCTTAAATAAGGGAGGAGAAAAAATCGACGAAGATGAAAATTGGTGCAGTGTCACCAGATGTTTTGATAATAAATAGTGAGAAATGCATCAACGCATCCTTAAAATAGCATAAAAGCCACATCTTTGACAGCCTCTATGCTATACTTTAACTATAATCTCCGAGAAGGTGGTAAGTGCAGTCAGGATATATTTATGGAGCTCTGAACACTAATGATTGTTTAGACAGAGCTGTATGGAATTTATACATATTTATTCGCATTTTTTCTTTTTCTATGATTTGAGCAAGCATTTGATAAATTCAGTCCTTAATAAGAACAACTACAAAATATTTTAAGATAGTCTTTGATGTTTTATTTTTAACTTCAATTGTAACTAACTCACCTGATTCCAATATAAGTGAATTAAGATTTTCTGACTATCATAAGTTTCACTTTTAACTTTTCTTTTAGATTATTTTCTTACTTTTCTATCAACTGTGGAATGAATAATGTGGAAAAAATACATTTGTGCAAAGCTTTAACCAGATTTTGCACATTCCTGTTATTCCAAAAACCTAAAAAAATGTACAGCCGCTTTTTTGAAGCCCACTTTGGAATTATGCATGCATTTAGCGAAGCATTAATCTACATTTGTATTATATAGCATGAGCAGTACATTAAAAAGCTTGTGATAATATTGATGTAGGGTAGAAAAAGGGGGAAAAAAGTGCTATTTGCAAAAAAAAAAAAAGATTCAGTCTTGTATTCACTCTGGACTTGCTACTTATGACTGAAAAGAAGATAAGTGCTTAGTTGTTTGATTCAAAAACTTAAACTGTATACAAAATTTACAAAATGTGCAAAATACAAGTATGGTAAACTAAACTTATAATTATGTTGTTTTCCCAAAGAATATGACCGCATCACTACCACACTGTTGCTGCTGTTGTTTTGTGACACATTTAGGTCTTAGTCTGTCACAGCAGCTTTTTTTAGACTCATGCTTGTACTATCTCATCCTTCTATTAGGAGCCATTTTCAAAGACATCAGCCATTTTTGAAACTGCCAGGCACAAAATGTCAGATGTTCTTGGAATCATGAAGTTGGCTTGGATGTCACAGACCTGATTTGAATGCTTCTAGTTTTATTGACTTTCACCCATATTTTACCACATCATTTAGTTCCATGTTGTTCATTGTCATTATTGTAATTGTAAGGTCTGAGATTTTGTTTTTATCGTAAACATCACTAAATAGTTTTAACACACCATTAATACATTTGTTTGAGATTATTTCTATAGAAGATAATGTGCTAGAGTGCCAAAGGTTATATTTTGTGGTATTGTGTGTATTCTGACATATCTGGGTCTCTAACTGAGAGAAGTATTTTTAGCTGGCAGCCAATTTAATAACACTTTTTATTCATGTCACCATTTAAGTTTCAGAGCCAAAGTAAGAAATGAGGCTGACGTTGATCAGTTAATTTTTGTGTGTGTTTTTTGGACCTTTGTTGAAATCAACAACCAGTGAGCAACTTAATTTCAGTAAATAAGGAGGGAATCAACTTTGATCTTTAACATGTGTGACATAGGCATGCAGGGTACGACAACAGAAGTGAGGTCAGGCAGAGGGAATTTGCTAAATAACTTTGTTGGCAAAATGTGTGTCCCTAAGCAGATGTTTATGTTCATTTGTTAAAAGCTGACAATGTTCCTTTTTCTTCTGCAGGGGTTGTTTCATGTTTTTCCAAACTAAATAAGCTAAGCAATAAATGGTAAACCATACCGCTCCTAAAACTATTGTACAATTTATATGGGATATAAAATAGTATACAAATATAATAAAATAGCCTTTGTCATTTCTTTTTGTGTTAAATATTATGAACTGTAAGGTTAATTATGCCTTATTATAGGGTCTTATCATATTTCTTGCTCTGTTGCCACAAACAAATAGTAATATAGTAATATTTTATACCTGAAAGACAAAGAATAGTTCAATGACTCATCTTAAAAATAGAAAATACTGGAACAAGCGGGGCTTATTATATCATTTGGTTTGTTTCATACTGCCTCCACACAGCCTTAAAGAAAAATAAAACATATTTGGCTCGCATCTCATTTATAACTAGCTAATGTTAAATTGTCAAATTAATAACAAACAGGAAATGATCAGATTTCATTATTTTGCAGAGGAGCAACATCTGGCGAAGGGGTTAGCTGATTATTTGAACATCTGGATGGGCAGGCTCTTTGTATACCCAGATTAAGTGTTATTATCTTTTTCCTCCATTCATCATAATGGTTGATAGGGAAAATAAAGTATTAAAACGGCCCGTAGTGTACCAGTGATATCTGTAATGCTTTCACCAATTTCCTTTGAGACAAAAAAAAAAAAGAAGTAGGCGACTGACTTGTGTTTAAATGAGATGAAAGTTTTAAGACATTCAGGGGAGAAATGCTTATTGTAGCAATAATTTATCTGTGTCTGCGAGGTACTAATGTTTGTGAGGTAGGATAAACAGGACATTTAATATATTCATTAGTACTGATGAGTTTAATCTAACCGATATTGGTTGTTTAAGTTTATATATATACACATGAATTTACTATTTAAATTGCTTGTCTATATTCATTTATTGACCAGTCCTTTAGCCAAATTAATGTTATAGAGATATAGTACCAACTTAAGCCAAAAAGCTGGCAACTCATCATAAGTGGGCAAACTTTTTTTGTTAACTAAACATTAGGACAGTCACATCATTATGCATTCTGATTTTATCATTTAACACATTTTAGTTTTTATCTTGTACAAGAGGGTCAGTGAAATCTTACCATCACATAGCTTATCTGGCCATTTTAAAGAGCAGCTGCATTAACTCACCGTTTAAACAGTTTTTAAATTGTGGAGGCAGTGATTCATATTCTTTATCAGAAAGTTAATAGAGTGGCAGAGAGGGAAATAATAGATAAGACTAATCTAAAATCCCATCCTGTTTGTCTGTGATGTAAGAAATCAGTTAGTCAGGAGTTAAATTTACTGGTGTTTTTATGAGAAATGCTCCCTTGGCAATTCTAATGCATAATGCTGAAAAAAAACCTACACAAAGCAGTGGGTTTATTCATGTAGGTACATGTAAGACAAGCTGTGGGCATACAGCCCACTCTTGGCAAGTACAGTCATACTAGTGACTGTCTTCACACTGACTGCCTCCTCAAAGGGCACCACTAAGTAGTCTCTTTAGGCGCTGTATTGCAATAACTATTTTGAGAACAATCAAAACCAACTGTCATAAAAAGGTGCAGATTATTGGCTTACAATAACAAGAGTACCATAGTTTTTCTCTGGAATGTTTGTCTTCATGTTGTATTTTTTCCTTGTCTACCTCTGCACTCAGGTTCCTACATGTATGTGGACGTTTCTCAGTATGATGTCGGGGAGAAGGCCCGGTTTCAGCTGCCAGTCATGAAAGAGAATGACACACATTGTATTGACTTCAACTATCTCCTGATAAGCCCTGATGGCTCCAGCCCAGGAACTCTTAACATCCTGGTGAAGGTACTGAATGCTAATCCAGAGCAACTTGAGTACTTTTACCAACATTTGTGGAAGAGCCTTGGGTTGTAATGGCCTAATGGTGTGAGCATGATTAGTTCCCTTTATTAAGCTTAATCTCTCGCTTGGAGGAGAAAAGTATAAATGAATTCAGAATGTAAACTGTAGCCATGATCGTTGCAGAAATTGAGCTCTCCTCCTAAATCCACTCTTCTCAAACTGGTGCAGGACTACAGGTTTCTTCCTTCAATGGTTGAGTTTGGAATCTGACTGTTTGAGGTGTAGGATAACTGTCTTTTATGAAGATAGCAAGTTAAAAAGGTGCCAATAATGCAGGTAACGAGTGGAGGGCTAATTGGCTTCCTGATGAAAAAGTTACAGTTCTATGAGGGCCAGACATTTTGCTTGTTTGTTGGTGACCAAATACTTATTTTTCTCCAGAATTTATATATAAATCCTTTTTAAAATCCCACAATATATAATGAAATGCACATCTCTGAAATACAATTTTTTTTCTAATGTACTCAACTCAACTTACATTTTTCATGCTAATTTCATATCCATTCATTTAGACAGAGTCTAACAGCAGAAGCTCAGGATTTAAATTACATTGCCAAAATTGCCAACAATCATGGGATGGGAATACAAATTAGAGAGAGAGGAAAGAAGAAAATAACTATATAAATCACAACTAATATCATCTACAATAAATTTACCAACATTATTTTCAATGCAAGACTTTCTTGATCCTACAGGCCTATTTTACAGTATAAGGTGGTACTGTTCCAGTTTGAAATTTTTACACTAGGATAACCCTGAATAACAATGTTGCTGTAACAGTGTAACTGATTTTAAATGATTAAACAGATACTTAGATATTTAGATACTGTAATAGCAGCAAGTGCTTAAGACTGGGACTGGATTCTGAATCAGAAGTTTTATTTGATTTATCAGAAATCATTGTCATGCAACTCAAGTTAAAATGTTGTTTTCTGAATTCTTTTTAGGTGAATAAAGGTCCTTTGGCAAACCCTATATGGAATGTGACATCCTACACTGGTAAAGTTACACTCACTCAGCTGGTTTAAATTTTTTTAAATCTCATTTTCTCATGTTGACCCTAACTTTTGCCACCTAGGTAAAGGCTGGCTGAAAGCTGAACTTGCTGTGTCCACCTTCTGGCCTAATGAATACCAGGTAAATTATGCGATGCAGCCAAAACCTTTGTGGAAGGATTCATTTCCAGTAGTGCTAATGTGAAAACAAACATCACACACAAATACAGACACATATTCATGCTGTGAGGCAGGCTGCTGATTTATTTGTGTTGACTGGGTCTCAGGAGGTGACGATTAGGCTAGGGTGTGTGTTAATGCATACATGTATTTGCATGTATGCGAGTGTGTTGCCATATGTGCCTTTGACATAACCAACATTGTATTTAATGTTTTATTTGTGCATCTCTAATGAGCTCCTGTTGAAACAGAAAGGAAATTAATGAGTTTCCAAAGCAGAGGAGGTTGCAGGACAATTGCATTGGGCTACAGTATACTGTTTTTTTTTGTGTGTGAATGTGTTATTGTTTATTTTTAATTTATCTTTGTGTATTTGGAGACTGCCTTTGACACTTGTGCACATTTTTTATGGTATTCTGGCACTGAACATTGTTGCAGGCATAAATACAATCAAGCCAGCGGACACAGCTTGGGGACAGTATAATAAGACTAGAAGGCCAAGTGCAAAGTGTCTCTCAAATGGCCCATCTGGAGCCCCCATCCCTCTGACTGCGCAGGGATCTCAGCAGCTTGAAACCCGTGTTTTAATTGAACATAATCATCTTAATTTGCTGAGCCACATGTAACTTTTTCAGGCTTTGAAGCAGGTTATTGGCTCTGAGGTTATGAAGCTATTTTGTCATGTTTGAACATGCGTCTGTGTTAGCAATTTAGTCTGATTTCTCCAGGGGAAATTTTTTCTCATGTAGACATACTGTACCCTCGCAGACACAAAAAAAAGAAGTACACAAAAATCACATCCACCTACACATCAACCTTTTGCTGGAGCTGTAATTATCATTTCTTCTTTATCAAACCTTTTCAGTCAAGATCATAAAACTTTTAATTTCTGTTCTCTGTTATTAGGGTAGTGAGTTTTTAAATTAATATTTGTATTTTTAGATACAGAATAAAAAATAGTTTGTTAGTTTCTTTCTTGATTAACTACTAAGGCTGCAGGTTTGTGTTTTTCTACCCTGCTCACAGCATAGCTGTCCTTTTACTTTGCTTGACTCTTAGATGTGCCTCAATTTTTTTTAAATCTCATTTCAGTTATTTAGGCCTACTTTGTAAAAAAGGAATATATTAATAAATGCAGTAACACAGCAGACAAACAATTGAGGTATTTTTAATCAAGGTTTCAAGAACAACCCAAGCACTCAGTTTTATGTGCACTTATTGATGAAACTTGAAATAAAGCTGCACACTGACACTAGATTTTTCACACAAGTCACATGTTAACATTGTCAAGTTTATTGAATTGCAGAGACAAGCCATTTTCATATGAAAAAGGAAAATAAATAAAAGGATGTGATGGTAAATGTAAAATAATGATGTTTTAAGAGACAACTTTAATTGAAGTATTCAAGTTCAGTTTATTTATATTGGACTAAGTCACAGGAAATACTTTCTCTCCAGATATTTAGAAAAAAGCAGGTAAGATTTTTATCAAATTATATCCAATCTAATATAAATACTGTTCACATTACTCCCGTTACTCTAATACGATCCAGTCTCTATTCATTCAAATGGTGTCCAGATTAATGAAAATTTTGATGTAATACAATTTACTCCCTCAATTAATATCGACAGGTTAACAATTGTTTATTTACAGAAGCCATTTATTGCATAAAGTCAGTAACTTTGCATTTATCATTTGTGCTGAGAAAGCATGTAGCAACACTGGAAAGTAATGACTAAATTTTAACAGGAAGAAACGTCCTACAGAATTCTTTGCTAATGTCTAAGAAAGAGTGAATAGAAGCACTTAGTAGATGAGGAAGAGTAAAAAAACAAAGCATAGAAATTTAATGGGAGCAATACTGTCATAGGCAACTTGATCCTAGCAGGCTACACAGATTAACTCAGCCTCACTTGGCCTAGGTACTGTAAGCAAACAAGAAAAAGAAAAAGTGCACACACAGATAATGGGACTTAATCTCTGTCAGGAATAAAACATAGCTTTACACAAGCTTACTTTACCTCTTCTATGGAGGAGAGACTCAAAAGAAGGACTGTTAAAGGTATAGTGGAGGATTTTCGAGGAATTTTTGAAAAGACCCGCCCTCTCCTAACCTGACAACAGCCAGATGCATGTCTCGCTCCGCCTAGCTCCACTCACATACATCTGGGAACCCGCTCATTGAAAGTGATTTCCCCAACCAAATTTATGGTCTGTCCAATCAGGACGCAGGGCGGGTGTGTCCTGGAGTGGAGAAGCGACCGTGAGATTCCAACAACAATGGCAGCTCACATCGAGGAAGCAAGCGTTAGCATTGATGCTGCTATTTCTTCTGTGTTGTCCAATCTATCTGATATTGTTTCATTAAAAGAACATCAGAGAACGGCTTTGAAGGCTTTTGTTGGTGGAAACTATGTTTTCGCCCTTCTCCCGACCGGATTTGGCAAGAGCTTGATCTACCAAATGGCTCCTCCTCTCACAGCGTCACGGGTTAGCTTCGGTGTGAGTGGTTGAAATAGCACGTCGATAAAGATGACAGACAAGTGGCTTATCCAATCATATGCAAGGAGTTTTGATAAGGCCCAGCCTTCAGTAAAGGCTATTCCTATGGCGGTGTCCCAGATGTATGTGAGTGGAGCTAGGCGGAGCGAGACATGCATCTGGCTGTTGTCAGGTTAGCCCTCTCCACTTAAAAAAAGAAAATGCACATGCACAACCATGTACCAACACCCGAGAGGAAACGCCTATTAAACGCTTGTGAGAGCAACAACGAGCCCATTTCTCCTCGTGCACACTCTGTTTAAAAATATTTGCATCGCTCATGTAAGCTTACTTTCAAAAAGAAGATTTGCAATTTTTCCACTTTGTCAGACTCACCACCAGTAAGTGAAAATGGGGACGGGCACATAGGACGGCCTTACAATAGGAGGACCACTTATCTTGATGATCCATCCAGAAAAAGAACATTCTCCACAATGCACTTAAGTAAGCGATATAGTTACCCTTAACAAGTGACTAAACATTGCACTCAAACTAGGTCTGAATCATTTTAAAATCTAGACCAGTTCAAAGCACATTATAATGTTATACTTTTTTTTCAAATGTTTCATACTAAAGCAATGTTAGTAAACACAAAAAGTTTATGATGTATCATTAAAAACAATTTAAGTGAATCCTAATAACAAATTAGGTTTGACATTATTCAATGGTATGTCAGAGCTTGTGTTTTTGATGCAGGTGTATAAACCTGAGGACTCTGAAATCCAGTCGAGTTCAGCCACATGTGCACGCTCATAATACCCTTAGCCATTACTACAAAAATGGAAATATTTTGGATATTTCTTACCAGATTATTTTATAGAAATGTATGCATCGGTTTTATACTCTGAGATCAGTTCCTCTCTGTGTTTTAAGGGAATTCACGTTTTATTAAATAATGTTATTCTAGTTTCAGATCATAATTAGTAGATGAATGACACAATAATTTTAATGGAGCTGCAACTATATTCTTGTTTATATAGATCAAGCTGTTTTTCTTGTAGCTTTTGCTGACTTTACACATTGGTACATTTCCTTTTGCTTGCTGCACTATTAGAAATTTATCTTTTGTGTTTTGACGCAGAAACATTTTGTTTTTGTTTTACTTTGGTTAATATTAGTGTATGTACACATGCAGCCTGTGTCTAGAAGCATATTTACATTTCTAAGAAATCAGCCTAACACAAGGTAGAAAATATCTCCTCCCTGCAGCTTTAAAACATTTTTTTGATTCAGTGCCCGTAGATGCATACATCAAAGTGATATATGCAACAGAATGATAAGAAGATGTATGCATTTGCCAAGCCTTACTCTGGAGTGATGATACACTATATTGCCAAAAGTATTTGCTCACCTGCCTTGACTCACATATGAGCTTAAGTGACATCCCGTTCCTAATCCATAGGGTTCAATATGACATCGGTCCACCCTTTGCAGCTAGAACAGCTTCAACTCTTCTGGGAAGGCTGTCCACAAGGTTTAGGAGTGTGTTTATGGGAATTTTTGACCATTCTTCCAGAAGCGCATTTGTGAGGTCGCACACTGATGTTGGACGAGAAGGCCTGGCTCTCAGTCTCCGCTCTAATTCATCCCAAAGGTGTTCTATCGGGTTGAGGTCAGGACTCTGTGCAGGCCAGTCAAGTTCATCCACACCAGACTCTGTCATCCATGTCTTTATGGACCTTGCTTTGTGCACTGGTGCACAGTCATGTTGGAAGAGGAAGGGGCCAGCTCCAAACTGTTCCCACAAAGTTGGGAGCATGGAATTGTCCAAAATGTCTTGGTATGCTGAAGCATTCAGAGTTCCTTTCACTGGAACTAAGGGGCCAAGCCCAGCTCCTGAAAAACAACCCCACACCATAATCCCCCCTCCACCAAACTTTACACTTGGCACAATGCAGTCAGACAAGTACCGTTCTCCTGGCAACCGCCAAACCCAGACCCGTCCATCAGATTGCCAGATGGAGAAGCGCGATTCGTCACTCCAGAGAACGCGTCTCCACTGCTCTAGAGTCCAGTGGCGGCGTGCTTTACACCACCGCATCCGACGCTTTGCATTGCACTTGGTGATGTATGGCTTGGATGCAGCTGCTCGACCATGGAAACCCATTCCATGAAGCTCTCTGCGCACTGTTCTTGAGCTAATCTGAAGGCCACATGAAGTTTGGAGGTCTGTAGTGATTGACTCTGCAGAAAGTTGGCGACCTCTTCGCACTATGCGCGTCAGCATCCGCTGACCCCGCTCCGTCAGTTTACGTGGCCTACCACTTCGTGGCTGAGTTGCTGTCGTTCCCAAACACTTCCATTTTCTTATAATACAGCTGACAGTTGACTGTGGAATATTTAGGAGCGAGGAAATTTCACGACTGGATTTGTTGCACAGGTGGCATCCTATCACAGTTCCACGCTGGAATTCACTGAGCTCCTGAGAGCGACCCATTCTTTCACAAATGTTTGTAAAAACAGTCTGCATGCCTAGGTGCTTGAATTTATACACCTGTGGCCATGGAAGTGATTGGAACACCTGATTCCAATAATTTGGATGGGTGAGCAAATACTTTTGGCAATATAGTGTATGTCAGTCCTTTGCCTTCAGCTTTTTATAGCAGCTTTTCCTGTGTGAGAACTTGTAAACATGTGCTATCAACAATCTTGTCTCACGGTACTGTGATTTGTTAGTCAGCAAACATTTGACAAATGGAGGTTAATAATGTCCATTCCATAATTTAAGGGGTCTTGAGGCTAATGAGGAAATGCATAATTGTATTGAAAGGTAAGAAGGAATAACCGACTTGGACCTAAACTACAGTGAACCAAAGGCTTCATGGGAATTTTTTAGTTCCAAAAGCTATCGAAGAAGATGGTATCAGAGCTCTAAATCTGACAAAAAAAATAGTTTCACTGACAAAAAATGTACCTTAGATCCTACTGTCCAAATATGTTGCCTTATAATTAAGAGTATCTAGAACTAAAAATATTCAGATTTCAGCTTTGGAGCTATTTAGGTGACCAGAAAAAACACAATCTGAGAAACTGGGAAAATCAATTTTTTTTAAAAACTGTAAACCACACATTAGCAAACATTTAAAAGGCATTTAAACTAGAGAAGAGTAAAAGATACAGAGAGGGAGGAAGTATGGATTTAGCATTCTCTCAGTGCATGGTGATTAACTCCTATGGGATGTGCTGTGTCCCAGGCCTTTAGCAGTTTGGTTGGATGATAAAAAAAAGGTTTCTATAGCAGCTGACCTTTGCCCAGAAATGTTTAAGCATGATGGCATCGTGTCTTTGAGATCACATAAGCTTTTGTTTTTAAATGGCCTTTTAATTTTTGACATAAAAAGGTCCTCAGTGGACAGTTTGGATGTCCTAATCCAAAATTATATTCAAAATATAGCAACCGCCAGCACACATAAATATACATAGAAGTGCAATGTAATCTTTAGGCTCTGTTAAGGATATAGCTTCAAAACAATAAACAATCAAGAGAGAAGACATGTTTGCTGTCAAACAGCCTGAGACCATGGTATTAAAAGTCAGCTGATGCCATTCTGCTGGGCACTGCAGTGAGCTATGAGTGAAAGATGATAGGCGAGGGGAAAAAAGATAGATTGGAAGAGGAGAGAGATTGAAAGTGGAGTGAGTGACAAGCCAGAGAGGATAAGCTATGGGTAAACAGTTCACGGCAGATTTGCCTTCAGAGGTGATGGATGGTAACAACTGCTCCCCCCTTTGAATTATTTCTCTCTTTGCCTCTCTTTTTGATGGCCATCTCCTTTTCTTTCTCTTTATTTATTTTTTTTGATTCTCTGTTCATTAAAGTAAACCAGACCGAGCAAACAGCATAGGAACACAGATGGCAAGTGAGACAAAGAAAGAATTACAGTGAGGAAATGGCTAGAAATGGATGTTGATGGGACAATAAAGAATGAAGGAAGATGGACGGCCATTCAACAGTGAGAGTATTTGTAAGGAGTGAGGAGAATTAGCTTTTCTAGATACTCAGATAATAAACTGGTGAGGCAACTGAGTCACTTTTCGACTGAAACCTCTTCTTTTTTCTTTCTTTTTGCCTCCTTTACAGCGTCTTTTTTTCAGTCTTTGCTTGTGTCCGTCCTTTTTCCTTCATTTTGTCTCTTTCTTTTGTGCTTATTCCATCTCTTGTCCTTCTGTGTGTGTTTCCTCATTTTGTTCTTTCTTCTGTTTCCCTTTTCTTCCATCTGCCTGTTCTTCCCTAGTGTTCTGCCTAGTGTATTCAAGACCACACCAACCAAGACCAAGGAGTACAGAGAAAGACAAAACCTTTAGAGGCGAAGACAATACCATATAAGGTCTTAGTCTCGGTTGGTGTGGTCTTGACTACAACACTATCCCTTCTTCAATTTTATCCATTCTTACTTTCTCTCTGTCCTTCCTCTTGCATTGTGCCTTACCCTTATTCTTTTCGTATCTTAATATCACTTTATATTCCCAGATTTAAAAGGAAAGTGTCCTTTTAATTGTAGTTTATTTTAATGTTTTCTATGCTCATAAAAACAACAAAGGCAATCACAACTTGAATATTTGAAAGAAATCAATTTCCACCAGTTGTTTTTGCTGAATATGAGCTTGTCCTTAAACAAAGTTGTCTGCACTTCAAGATTATTATTTATACAACTAAATGTTTTTGCAAAAAAACAAAACAATAACATTTACATGTTATTCCAGATCACATTTTCCATTCACAAATATGATATTAGTCTCTGTTTGCCTGTTTTGAGGAATACCTGATGTATTGTTAAAAAGGAAAACCAAACGTTATGATTTCCACAGTGTTGGAATAATTGCATTGGAAATGATTGGGCTTATGTCACCGGAATGCACCAAAAGGAACAACATGAGCACATTATAGGCTCATGTGGCGGACTAGTGCCTTACTTTAAATATTCTCTATATTTTGTCATTTTGAGATTTGTGTAAAATTACTTTCAAATTTCACCTTTTTGATGTCCACTTCCCTATTTATTATTATTTTTTTCACCCTTTATTATTTGTTTTCCAGTTAAAACTGTTATTTTTTTTTTCTTTAACAAAATTACAGCTCAAGCCACTTTACAAGTAGCATTTTCCCCAGTTTAGGCCATTCATCTATCTGAGAGGATTCTGCTTGAGTTTTAAAATGAATGATTCACATTTGCTTAGTTATCAAATAAAAAAGAATGACGTCCACCAACCTGAACAACATTCAAATAGATTTCATTTGATCTAGCAGATGGTGTTTGCAGGTTATTTACTTGTTATAATCTACAAATAGATTTCAATGTTTATTTTTTTTCTGCAGAACACTGAAGATTGCCATGTAGTTCAGAGATGGTAGTTTTTGTCTCTGAGGGCCACGTCCTTGCATGTTTTAGTTTGTCTTCCTGAAAACACACAATTTTAATAACATTCATATGCTCTACATAACCTGGAGATTTCCATCATTTTATTTTCAGTCATTTGTGTTGGAACCAGGAGAAATATAAAGATTATATTTATCTGAGAGCTGCATTGAACATTGGCAACATGCAATGGAAATATGAAACACACAAATACAATTTCTTGTTAAAAACTAAGTATGTTTGCAGGGAATATCAATTTTTTTAACCTTTACAGATGTCTGTTCACAGGTTGTCTTTAATTAACAATATTATGTCAACATTTTGATTTTCTGTAAGCTATGATCTAAGAGTACAAGTGGTTTAATTATCATGTTTATTAGTGGTCAATGGATCAAGCCTTATTTCCTTAATTTTGGGTGAGCGGTCAATACTGATATATGAAGTCAATCTTACAAACTGATCTTATTTATGTCCATAAGGTCTAAAAATGAACTAATGGTCTAACCTTTTAATTTATATTTGTGAGCTCTACCTCATGAAAAGTTAAAACCATTTGCCTTGTTTAATACGTATAATTTATTGTTCTTAAGCACAATAAGATGTGAACTTATTACACCTGACAGTGTCAATAATAATACAAATCAGTATCTACAGAAAACTGTGTTTGCTGCAGTCCTACTTTATACATCCTACATTTAAAGTCACTATATAATTACTATAATAATAATAATAATGAAGACAATGAAAAAAATTTTTTTCTCCTGTTTTTCTCAGGTTATATTTGAAGCAGAGGTGTCGGACAGCAAAGCCGGCTTCATCGCCATAGATGACATTCAGGTGCTCAGCTATCCGTGCGGTGAGTCATTATAATGCCAGCAATTAGTCTTAGTTCGCTGAATAGTGGCTGATAGCTTTGGCCACTAATTAGACTGTACCTATGATGGTTTCTCTTGCAGCTGAATGGATAGATAAGTAGGAAGGTGACTCAGAATGGGATAGATGCTGCAGAAAGAGAAAGACAAGCTGCAGAGAAATAAAAACAGAGAGAAAGTTTGTGAGAAAGGAAAACAGAGAGAAAGGGGGAAGAGGAGAGGGTGAAGCGGGAAATGAGACAGTATTAGGGCAATCATGGAGAGAGAAGATTCTGACCACTCAGCAGTTTCTCCCCCCACCCCCAGTTTAACCCAGAAGCACACACAGTTGCACAGACACACAGAGCAAACAGTCACTGTCTTGTCTCTTCTCTGACCGGAAAGAGATTGGAGGGAAGATCCATTTTAAATTCTATCTACGTCTTGGGTCGCCTTCTTTCCTCACTTGAGTGTTTCCTCACTGCTAGAGGCGAAAAAGAGTTGTGACGACAGTCTCACACTGTTAACCGAGAGGTCCGCTAATCTTTGGCCACTGGCATGTTCCTGGAGGTTCCTCATGTTAGCAAGAAAGTCAGGAATTCAGTTCGCTCATCGGTCTCATAGCAGCAGAAATCTTTTAAGACAATTTTGTATCTTAATGCCTTTTATTGATTAAAAGTCACAAAAATATACGGTCTTGCACCGTTCTCTTCTGGAGTTTACCCCTGAGGTCCACGTTTCTGTTAAAGGTTATTGATATTAACCTATTACTCGACCCGGAGCAAAAGCCTGAAAAATTATTAACAAGAGGATCCTCGGGTCCTTAAAGGCAGCAGGACTCCTAAATGGAAGGAGCATGTATTTGGAAAGGAATTAGTACTTAGTCCCCACAGTGGAAGCATTCATTCTCACAGCTGCATTTCTGGACACAGTTTGTGTGTATGTGCGTGTGTGTGCACACTTGCATGAACACACGGGTGTCTGTGGGTTTTCAGCCACCGTAGGAGCTACTATCTATGATTGCAATCACACCAGCAGAATAAAAACATCATCACTGAAATACATTTTCGTCATCTAAATAGCTTATTTCATTTCATTGGATTGTTGTTAAGAATTGGTTACTGTTGAAATGATGTATACTGGATGTGATATTTATTTTACCTCATGGCAATTCAGCTCTTTGATTTTCTCCAACTCCAATAAAATCTAATTGCAAAAAAAAAAATAATGCAATATAATGTTTTGCAATGTAATAACCTCGGGTATCTGGTATCTCATTTACACTTCTGTAGTCAAATGGAATAAACAAACGAAAACAACTCACCAACAGAAGAATAAGTATTTCTTTGACCTATCTTCCTTTTAGACAAGTCCCCTCATTTCCTTCGTCTTGGGGATGTTGAGGTGAATGCTGGGCAAAACGCCACATTTCAGTGTATCGCCACAGGAAGAGACACATCAAACAATAAACTGTGGTTACAGGTAAGGTCATATTCAGACACCCACATGCAGACATAAAAATGTAAACAATGTTTTAAAAAATGTATCTTTATCCAAATATAACGCAGTGCTCTTTTCTTTTTATTCTTCTTATAGATACCTCTAAATCTCATTTATATAAGCTAGCTATATGATTCTTCTTAACATTACTATGAATAATTTTTTTCTTTTATCTTATTTATTTCAGTAATGTTATGAATAATATGTAGAAAATAGTGTCAGCAGAGAATTGGGGAAAAAATAATTATAAAATATGTGTTCTGTTGTCTCTATTGTGTGTTAGTAGCAGGGGTGGAGGGCAGTTTATTCAGAAATAAATATTTAGATTCCTACTCTATAAGTTTAATTTAAACCTTTTCTCATTTTAGCCTTTTTTAAGTTGATTGTTGATCTTTGAAATCAATTCATTGATTTTATCGCATCCACTCTTCAAAGTGAGAAGGAAAAGGCTGCATGTCTTTCAAGAAAGGCAGCTGTGTCCTTATTTCCTTGACAAAAAGTCTTTAAAAGACATCTACCTACACCTATATCTACAATATGTATCTGTAAAGCATTAAATTAAAAAAAGAACAATTAAACTGACACAAACAGGTTCGGTTGCTTCCAAAGTGTCCCGTTAGAAAGCTGCAGCAATATTTTCAGCATCAGATCATAATACTTCATTAAAAAATTAATATAACTTTAAGTTTTCATGCACATCTTCCCTCAGGCTGTAAAGAAAATATTTTTTTTACCTACAGTACTTCAAACCTAATGTTTCATGTTATTGTGAATTTAAATCTCCATCATCATTAAAAGCTTTAAGAATAAAAACAAATGTGTTCACTCCTAGGTTTACTGCTTTCAAAGATATGAAACCTGCAAACCTGTTATCCTTTGATCAAACTGACACTACTTACTGCATAAAGAAATTTATAAGACATTTTTTCATGAGGTAGCCTTTGCATATGTCATATTGGTCCCCAGAAGGTGCAAAATGAAACATTAGGGGACTTTTTCCTATGTGTAACATGTGTCTTCAAATGCTATAGTACCTCAAAATATAATGCTGATGTAATGCACATCTGGTCACTGCAGATATATTTTCTATGTCAGATTTATGCTAATTAAAAATGGTTAAGCGTTGCTTACAGGCTGTACATGATTGCTATCCAATTCTATCTGCATAGGTTTTGGATAGGTATTTTCTGATAGCTTAATCTTCTTCATGCTGGAATGTTTAAGTTTATGATTATAATCCAGTAGTAGCCAGGGCCGATCCTGTATGCAGCATGAAAACCTTTTAAAGTCTGCAACTAAGTCAGAATGACTTGCTGTGGTGACCCCTGAATATAGGAGTACTTGGAAGGACATGAGGCACATTTCCAATAGCTTCCCAGGTACAGATAAACAGAAATGGATGCCAGTTGTGTCATGTAACTACATTTAGGAAAACTTCACTGGCTTCTTGTTCATCATCCAGGGCATTTTAAGGTTTTGGTATTGTCTTGGTGAGCTTTGCATGGACAGACACAGATGTGTCTTGCTGCACTTTTACATACTTACAAACCCATCGGAGCCTTAGGGTCCTGTGATCAAGACCTGGTGATCATCGCCTGTACAAAATGGAAAAACTAAAGGAGACAAATTTTGAAATATACTTTTGCTTAAATATTGTTTTCTTGTTTTAAATTATTTGTTGAAGTACTTTATGAATTATTGTTATTATTTATATTATATATATATATTATTTATATTGTTATTATGTAATTGTTGTATCTTGATAAGTACCTTATAGATAAAGGTCTCATTAAATCACTCACTACCAATATTCAGTACAAACCTACTGCTTAGCCCAAGCTAAGTACCCATTTGACCTGTTTATAGGGATTTGTCCTTTACCCAATTAAAAGATATGGACAAAGCTTAAAAAAATCACTTCTCGTTTATTTTTTCAAGTTTTGTTCTAATTTGATCAATAGAATAAGTAGATAAATAAAAAAATACACATAAATTATATAAAATCAAACATTGCACCTTGCTTGGGTACTTTACATCCAATATATGAAAAATCAACATGCTCTTTCAACACTGATAAAAACAAAAATATATACATCTATGAAATGTTTAATCACACAAAGTGTTTATCAGTCCGAGGGGAGTTTGGGTCCTTCTGTCACTACCACTGACACCTACTTTTTATTTGAATTTATCTGGAATAGAAACACAGCTAAACAGATAAGCTCTAACGCAGTTGTAAAATTTGTGAGAAGAAAAAAAAAGGATGTATATTGGGGGCCATAGCTCCTTTAAATTGCTTTAACTTGGAGACAGACAAGGTTAAACACAGAAAGGTTTCCAAGTGTCATTAATAGAGGGGGACATTCATTTTTCAGCAGAAGTAGCTCAATTGTTGGCTCTCTCCAGTAAGGTGTCTGTGCACAACATATAGGCTTTGGAACAAAAAAACTAAAACATTACATAAAATTAATGGCAGCAATAAATGCAAATAAGACCTAAGCGGAGAGCAAAAGAAGAAAAGAGCAAATAACCTAAACCTAGAGCAGCATAACTACAGAGTTAGCTCCGGATAAATGAAGGCACTAAAATAAGACAAGGTGTCTTCCTGTTGGGCAAAAGATTTCAAAGTCCTCGTTTTAAAACATCTTGACTAGCAATAAAATTAAATGTCCTATTTGACTAGATTTCAGCTACATACAGTCCCTAACTACATAAGCAGTCCCCAAATAAAAGCATGACAATTTAATACAATAAAGTCTCAGCCACATTGTGTGGAATGATGAGTTCTCTTTTAAAGTGCTTCAGACTCTTAAGTTGCTCACATTCTCTCTGCGACTGTAGGCCATACATCTAGCACCTGACATGATTAAGAGTTTAATAGCTGCTGATTTCATTATTGCTCTATCACAGTCATAACCTTCAAGCCTTCTCTTAGTGAGGCAGCGGGGGTTGACGGGAAGTGTGTTGGTTTATGTTGTCCAGTACTAACGTGTGACCTTGAGCAAATCAGTTAAACTCCTCAGACCTCGGCAGGATGTGATTTATCTGTTTTTGCTTCGTCTCTTCTCCAGAGGAGAAATGGAGAAGATATTCCTGTGGCTCAGACCAAAAACATCAACCACAGACGGTTTGCCGCCTCCTTCCACCTCAAAGAAGTCTCTAATCAGGATCAAGATTTGTATCGCTGCGTCACCCAGTCAGAGCGTGGCTCCGGGGTGTCTAACTTTGCAGGTCTTATTGTGAGAGGTGAGATATTAGCAAACATTTCTCATTCTTTTAGCATTGCCTCATCTGTAAGGTTTATGGATTTTTTTTTATTCTCTTCTTTATGATGTTTTTATTGGTAGGATTGTTCCTGAACTGGAAAATGTCTAAACCTCACTGCATGTTTATTACTGTTTTCATTAATCACTGTGTGCTTCATAATTTGGTATAATTAGGATCATTGATGTACTCTCACACACAAACACACACACTACCCAGCATGCATACACACAACCATGTCCTTTGCCAACAATTTCAGTTTAAAAATTGACTGAAATTAAAGTCAGACTAAAAAATAAACTACTAAATTAAAAAAAAAATGTACCACTAACTTTAAAAATGTGTTTATGGTAAGAAATGTCTTTATTATGGGAAAATACAGGGGTGACAGTGACAATAACACATAGATACCACACATACTTAATGATATGAAAAGAACAATACTGAACATTTAAGGTAAGCAGCAGAGGGAAAAAAAACATATTTCAGGGAGAAAATAATATTACTCTACATTTATCATTAGGGAAAATTATTTTATATCCATTTAGTTCTTCAGAGCACAAATGAAGAATTCCCTATGGCTTTTGATGGTTGCAGATCATTGGTGATACATGTTACAATGAACCTTGTATTTAGCTTCACTCTCTCTGATTGGGGGAGGATTGACATGGTTAGCTTAATGTTTTCTAGTTTACAGTGGCAGGTAAAATCTGCTATTTTGTTCCATTCCTCAATAGAAAAGGGATAATAACTGAATAAAACAACTGAGTTTTTACCTATGCTTAACTGTGATGTGGTAAAAACCAAACATCTTTGCGAACATCTAAGCTACAGTGTAGAAGTCCTGCTTACGCTGGCACACTTCCAATATTGTTATCAATCATTTCCCCTTCTTCACCTTTTATATGTGTGGGTATAAACACTACAACAAATGACACTTGTATCACTTGTTTGTACACAGACAGCATATTATTTTTGAAAAATAAAATTTTATTTAGGTTTATATTCTGACAGTAAAGTGCATGTAAATATAGATGTAATTATTTTTCTTTTGACCCTAAGCTCCCTATCAGGCATTAGTAACATCAATATAAAGGCAAAAAAAATGTTTGAAAGCATCTTACATTTGTAAAAAAAAAAAAAAAATAAATAAATTTGGGTATTTAGTTATCTAATTACCCAAAGATGGTTTACCATCCCACATACCCATTACGGGGATGGTATATATATATATATATATATATATATATATATATATATATATATATATATATATATATATATATATATATATATATATATATATATATATATATATATATATATATATATATAAAACTGTTTTCTCACCCCTCGTGGGGTGGTATGTGTCATCCTCAAGCTCGGGTCCTCTACCAGAGGCCTGGGAGTTTGAGGGTTCTGCGCAGTATCTTAGCTGTTCCTAGGACTGCGCTCTTCTGGACAGAGACCTCTGATGTTTTACCTGGAATCTGCTGTAGCCACTCTCCCAGTTTGGGGGTCACAGCCCCTAGTGCTCCAATTACCACTGGCACCACTGCTGCTCTTACTTTCCACATCTTTTCTAGCTCCTCCTTCAGTCCTTGGTATTTCTCAAGCTTCTCGTGTTCTTTCTTCTTGATGTTGCTGTCGCTTGGGATTGCCACATCTATCACTACTGCCTTCTTCTGCTGTTTGTCGATCAACACGATGTCTGGTTGGTTAGCCATCACCTGTTTGTCAGTCTGGATCTTGAAGTCCCATAGGATCTTAGCTCGGTCATTCTCAACTACCTTAGGAGGTGTCTTCCATTTTGACCTTGGGACTTCCAGCCCATACTCATGGCAGATGTTCCTGTACACTATGACAGCTACCTGGTTGTGGCGTTCCATGTATGCACTTCCTGCCTGCATTTTACACCCCGCTGTTATGTGCTGTATTGTTTCAGGGGCATCTTTGCACAGTCTGCATCGGGGGTCCTGCCTGGTGTGGTAGACCCTGGCCTCTATTGATCTTGTACTGAGTGCCTGTTCTTGTGCTGCCATGATTAGTGCCTCTGTGCTGTCCTTCAGTCCAGCCTTTTCCAGCCACTGGTAGGATTTTTTGATGTCAGCCACTTCTTCTATTTGTCTGTGGTATACGCCATGCAGCGGCTTGTCCCTCCATGATGGTTCTCCTTCCTCTTTCTTGTCCTCACTTTCGGTTTTCTCCTGCCTGAGGTACTCACCAAGCCATTTGTCTTTGGGGGCCATCTTTCTGATGTACTCCTGGATCTTAGTTGTTTCATCCTGGACAGTGGTCTTGACACTCACTAGCCCTCGGCCTCCCTCGCTACGCTTGGTGTACAGTCTCAGAGTGCTGGATTTGGGGTGGAACCCTCCATGCATTGTGAGGAGCTTTCTCGTCTTGATGTCAGTAGCCTCTATCTCCTCCTTTGGCCAGTTTATTATGCCAGCGGGGTATCTGATGACTGGTAGGGCATATGTGTTGATGGCTTGGATCTTGTTTTTTCCATTCAGCTGACTTTTCAGGACCTGCCTTACTCTTTGTAGGTATTTAGCTGTGGCAGTCTTTCTTGCCATCTCCTCGTGGTTTCCGTTAGCCTGTGGCACCCCAAGGTATTTGTAGCTGTCCTGAACATCTGTTATGTGGCCTTCTGGTAGTTCAACCCCCTCGGTTATGATCATCTTCCCTCTCTTTGAGACCATGCGACCGCACTTGTCCAGTCCGAATGACATCCCAATGTCGTTGCTGTAGATCCTGGTAGTGTGGATCAGTGAGTCGATGTCTCGCTCACTCCTGGCATACAGCTTGATGTCATCCATGCAGAGGAGGTGACTGATGATTGTTCCGCTTCGGAATTGGTATCCGTAGCCAGTCTTTGTGATGATCTGGCTGAGGGGGTTAAGGCCTATGCAGAACAGCAGCGGGGATAGTGCATCGGCTTGGTATATGCCGCACTTGATGGTGACTTGTGCTATTGGCTTTGCATTGGCTTCCAGACTTGTTTTCCACAGCTTCATTGAGTTCTTGATGAAGGCTATTAGAGTCCTGTTGATCTTGTACATTTCCAGGCATTCCAGTATCCATGTATGTGGCATTGAGTCATAGGCTTTCTTATAGTCAATCCAGGCAGTGCACAGATTTGTCTGCCTGGTCTTACAGTCTCGGGTGACTGCTCTATCCACTAGTAGCTGGTGCTTGGCTCCTCTGGTGTTGCTTCCTATTCCCTTCTGGGCAGGGTGCATGTATTGAGCCATGTGCCTATTCATCTTAGCCGCTATGATGCCTGACAGGAGCTTCCATGTTGTACATAGGCAGGTTATTGGCCGGTAGTTGGATGGGGTTGTTCCCTTCTGCGGATCCTTCATGATCAGGATGGTCCGTCCTTGGGTTAGCCATTCTGGGTGGGTCCCATCCATCAGCAGTTGGTTCATTTGTGCTGCGAGGCGTGCATGAAGTGCGGTTAGTTTTTTCAGCCAGTAGGTGTGGATCATGTCAGGGCCTGGTGCTGTCCAGCTCTTCATACCTGCCGCTCTTTCTTGGACATCTGCCGTTGTAATGGTTACTGGTTCTTGTTCTGGGAGATTGCTGTGATCTGTTCTTAGATCTTCCAGCCACTGAGCATTGGTGTTGTGGGATGCCTCCTTCTCCCATATGTTTCTCCAGTACTGTTCAGTCTCAGCCCTGGGTGGATCTGATCTTGAATTACCCTGCGAGTACACTTTGGATGGATTGGTGGAGAACACCTGGTTTATTCTCCTGGCTTCTGCTTCTCCCTTGTATCTCTTTAGGCGGGTGGCCAGGGCGGCGAGTCTTTGTTTGGCAGTTTCCAGAGCCTCAGGAATCGACAGCTTGTTGTACTTAGGTAACCTCTTCCCTACACCTTTCTGCAGGTCTGAGAGCTGACTAACCTCTCTTCGTGTTGCCTTGATCTTGGCTTCCAGCCTTCTTCTCCATGGGGGCTCTGCTTTGTGGCCTGTGGTGTTTATCTTATAGCCAAGCATCTCTAGGATCACTGTAGCTGTGGCGTAGGTCAGCTCATTGGTTTCAGTGATGTCCTTAGTAGGGATAGTATGTAGTGCTGCATTTACATCTTCTAGAAGGCTTTCAGAGGGTACTCTGTCACTTAGCCTTGGCAGTCTTGGTCGTCGTACTAGGGGATCCAGTTTCGTTATGATCTGCTGTCGCAGGTCAGCTGCCCTTACGTTTAGTGGGCCTGTTGTAGTTGGGGCTGAGGACCCAATCTCTGTGTGTTGGGATGATGATATTTCCCTACTGACCTGTAGTCCTGACTCCCCCTTGCCGCAGCATGTCAGTTGTACCTCGTCAATTTCTAGCTGTGAAAGCAGCTGCCGTTTGCGGATGTTGGAACACTGTGTTAGTAGTTGTTTCTTTGTCAATGATGACAATGGTTGTTGGAGCTGCCATAATTCCCATAGTCTCTGCATGTAACCTCTCTCACTGGGCATGCTTGTATAGTAGCATTTCATCAGTACCAAGTTTTCTGCTCTAGTCCATCTATGTCTTGTTCCAGTAGCCAATTTGTCATTTGCCCTGGTTCCCTAGCAACTGACGCGGACCTTGTTAACTAAGCACAAAGGACCTTGCCTAAGGGTCCACCTGGATGATGTCCATGCCGGGAATCGAACCCCGGTATATATATATATATATTAGTGCTGTCAGTCGATTAAATTTTTTTAATCGCGATTAATCGCATCAATGCCTGAGTTAACTCGCGATTAATCGCATTTTAATCGCACATTTTTTTCCTGATTGAAAATAATTTAAATACTCTCGATGACATACAAAAAAAATACATACAGGCTAGGTTTGTGCCAATGTTCTTTTTTTAAAATGAAAACAGGTCACAGATACTGATTTATGCCAAAAATAACAAATATGTAGGCAAAAAAAGGCCCTGAAAACAGGTTGATGTAAAAGTCTTTACAGTTAATACAGTCTTTTGAACAAAGACAAGCATT